TAAGTTTCCTCAACGGGTTAGAGGATTTCCCTCAACAGAGTAGAGAGATTTCCTCAACAGTTAGGGAAATCTCATCTACTTATCAGCGATGTTTTGGGCATTGTGATGATCAACCCCCTCGATGGTAGAGGGGTTCATTGGTTACATCGTTGCCTGCAGTAATTGTTGTTGAGCATAACGATGATGCATTGTGTGGTATAAGCATCGATATTTGTGCTAGGTCCTGGTCGCTTAATGAGAGGGCGGAGAAGTCGTTGTATGTAATGGTGGATGTAAGAGTAAGGTGGATGCGATTTTATTAGATGGTTGCATGAAACGAGCCATCAATCATGGAAAGGACATTAGCGACCTTGGGTCATGATGCGAGAGAAAAGAGATCGGTGGTGACATGATGAAGGGAGGCATCACAGAAGGAATCCATAGAGAAGAGGAAACCGAGACGGGGTCGATGAATGTCACGATGGATGAAAGGTGTGATGGTGGGATTTGGCACAAACAGATTACGACGACAACTTGCAGTAGGACATAGGTGGGCGTTAGATGATAATATTATTTTATCGTGAAAGATGTGCCGAGAAAAGGTCGTCATAGCTCCTATGCTAGTCGAGGAACACCCATGATAAGCAACAGATAACGCAAGATCAGTAACCCTACTTTTGTTGACTTGATTGGGTTGTTGTTTGGCTCAAATCAAATATATTATTATTTGATTTAATATTAAATATATTACACATAATAGTATAATTATAATTATAATTTTTATACTTACATACATATCCAGATTGATTACTACTTACTATATTATATTATTGTATAAAATAAATAAATCTCACATCATATACATCACTTAGTATAATAAAAATATATTTTAATCTTCGATCTATTTCTTTGGCTATTTAGTCCAAAGTCTGAACCACTTGTATCTTGATGGCTACCAACGCCATGGCAAGCTAACTCGAAGAGAAAGAGTGCTTCTCCAAACAACCTTTGCCATACTTGAGATTGATCATGATGTTCCAACAAATAAGAAAGGCTCCTCAACTCTCGCTTCATCGGCACAAACCTTTGCATAGCAATATAGGCTACGAAAAGGAGGATATCTTCTCCCACCAAACTTCTTATGACATATGTGACCACCGCCACTCGATAAAAATGCTTTTATTGTATGAAATCGATAATGCACCAACTACTTGTACTTTTTAGTTGAAGGAACAAGTTAGTTAGTTACAGTGGATTAAAGACACTCGTGGAAATAAAATAAAATAAAATTTATTTTTCATGGCATCTTGATTTCAGTTTTTAGATCTAAAATTTCCTATCAAATTAATGGGCTAATTCGAGAGATAAATTAACCCCTTAATTTGATAGGAAATTTTTATTCCATGTGAAAGGGTAATTGATCGTCACATGGTAGTCTTGATTAGAAAACATATGTAATTGGTTTGATTGAGATTACAGTCTAATTTGATCTATTTTTATTATAGTGATTAAAATACTATAATAAATTAATTTTTAATTTTTAATTTTTATTTTAGTGATATTATTAATAAATTATTATAAATATGTATTTGAATTATAGTATGATATATCAAATGGTTTTTATTTTATTTTATTTAATTTATTTATTATATTTTTAAATATGTTTTATAGTATTTTTATTATGATGATCAAAACACTATAATATGTTAAAATACTATAATAAGTGAAAAATATTTTGAATAATAATTTGAATATTTTTAAAATTAAGAATATTGTTTGAAAAAAAAATAATTTGTTTTTTAGAAAATAGCTAAAATGCAGATTTTGTTTTTTAGAAAAATAGTTTCAACACTTTCTATGGATAAAATAATAAAAAATAAGCTATCCATCGCATTCCGATGTCCGACGAAATATATGTATATTTTAAAGCCGCGATAGATTCAGCGCATTTCCACATTAAATATTTGCAATAAAAACCCTAAACGCTCTCGCGTGCGCCTCGTCCGATCGAGGCCGTTCGCATCAGGATCAGACGGTCAGAATCGTTTTCATTTTGTGCTTTATCAGTCTCCTCCCACTCTCCCCCCTTTCGCTTCCATCTCGACGCTGCTCGTCACCGTTCCCGACTCTGGGTGGCTCGTGTTGTGTATCCCGGTGTTTTCTCTATGGGAATTGGCTTAATCGATCGCCGATCAGCGATCGCCTTTAGCTCGGAGTTGTAAAGATCGCAGCTTTTTTGTCCTGGTCTCTCGGATTCCTTACGAAAATATGGCGTTGGCCCTGCCGGACGCCTCCAGGAATCACTATGCCTACTACGGGTTTCCCGTTGCCGGGGTTGGGATGTGAGGTTTTCCGATCGAAACATATCGTTAAGACTACTTTAAATGGTGAAAGATCAAATCTTTTTTCCAAGTCGTAGTGGTTTTGGGTTTTCGAGGCATGGAGCTGATAAAGTTTGTCTTTTTGGTTCTTTATTCCCCGTCGGTTGGTTTTTAGGTTAGTTCTATCTTTCTTTGTGTTCTTGTACTGGCCAATGAGATACCTGTGACGGTGCTGCCGGAGATGGGAGTTCGTTCTGTGATCGGAAGCGGAGGGGATGGGTTTGGCGGCGATGATTTGGAGGAACTGGGGATGCTGCTTCGGGAGCAGAGGAGGCAAGAGGCGATCGATCGAGAGAGGGAGCTGAATATCTTTCGGAGCGGCTCCGCCCCTCCCACCGTGGAGGGGTCCCTGAGTGCCGTCGGAGGGCTCTTTGGCCTGGAGGTTGGCGCCGGTGTGCCGAATATGTCGGAGCCGAAGAATGGAGATAGTTTCTTATCCGAGGAGGAGCTCCGTTCTAATCCGACTTACCTCTCTTACTACTATACTCATGTGAATCTGAATCCCCGGCTCCCGCCGCCGGTGCTGTCCAAAGAGGACTGGAGGTCGACACATAGGCTTCAGGCGGGGAGATCGGTTCTCGATGGGATTGGAGATAGAAGGAAATCGAACCGTTGGGGTGAACAGGTCGATATGTCTCTTTTCTCCCAGCAGCCACTGTTTAATTCACAGGAGCATGCTGTGGAGTCCAGGAAGGCCCCTTGCTCGGGGAATTGGCGGGATAATGGTGGAGATGGGTTGATCGGGCTTTCACTCAGCCGGCAGAAGAGCTTTGCTGACGTCCTTCAGGTGATTTCTAGCATCCCAAATTTCGTTTTTCTTCTTCTTTCCCTCTTACCATACGTTGCAACTTTTCCACCACATATCATTTCTTTTGGCTTACAGCGCATATTCTCTTGCTCTAAAATTAACAAGGCATGAACTTTTACCGAAGTGATCTTTCATATCTTGGTTATAAACGAAGGATCCTTTGGTGAAGAATCTCAAATTAGGTGCAGCTACCTTTATGCTCCGATGTATATTAGTCTGGGCATTTGACCAATATGATTCTCCATAAGACTGCGGTATTCATCAGATACCATGCTGCTGGATTCCTGGAAAATGATTGGGAGTGTGTTTAGTGGACATGGAATTAGCGAATACAATTGCCTGTTGTGATGTCTAAAATTGTCCGTTATTTGAGACAGATTGCAAGTGACATACAACTTGGTTGTTATTGTTGCAAAGCAGTCCAAAAACATTATGTATGTTATGTGGATGATACTATCAGTGATTTGAATGTGTTAGTGAGTTCACCAGGAGGCCGAATTTAGTTTAAACCCAATCCCAAATCTCCTGAAACTTGAACCAGGTAATATCACTAGCAATTAATGATTATTAATTAAAATTTTGAATTGCAAAATTGGCTAAACTTAATACAACTGTGCCATTTGGAGTTGTTGTAAACAGAAGTTTTTAATGTGACTGGTCTTTATCTTTGTTCACATTATGAATTATGATTCATTGATAGCTGGTATTTTTTTTGAAACAAAAAAGCAGTTCCAGCACTTGGCATGATTTTTCACTATTGCTGCTTATGCAATCTCAATTTTTTGCAAGTGCATATAATTTGGAAGGTGCTAGATCTATTGTGTTTGCTAGCATTTCTCCTATGTCATCATGCATTACTTGTTCAAGGTTTTGCAGTTTGCAGTTGCATATGTAAGGTGCTAGATCTATTTGTTGCAGTTTGCAGTTGCATATGTTCATGATTTTCATTCATTTATTTTGTCCTAGGATTTGTAATTGGTCAAATCTTTCTCCTTTCTTCTTGCCTTTTTTCACTTCATTTTTTTATGGACAGTGTGAATCATAGATCAACTTGTACTTCTGGTTATATTGCTGTTATTTTTCTCAGGATGACTTTGGGAGCAGAACTCCCATATCAAACCATCCATCACGCCCGCAAAGTCGTAATGCATATGCAAATAGTCTTGAAGCATTAAGTTCTGCTGATTCCCAGTTTTCTTTAAACAATCAAGTCTTAGCTTTAGGCAGGCAGCAAACTGGTGAATACGTCCAGTGCATCAATGGACTTCCACATGGTTTTGCAGCTGTTGAAGGTCCATCCCTTGAGAAAAGCACCACTCCTGACCCTCAGCTGGTTGCAAGGGCCCCTAGTCCTTGTTCGTCACCTTTTGGTCTGAGCGTTGGTGCCGATGGCCACAAAGACAAAGTCAATCTATCGGCTACAGTTGAATCTGATGACCTTATAGCTGCATTATCACATTTTAGCTTGTCAACTGATGGTGCAGTAACTGCTGCAAATGTATCTCAATCGGAGCTTCAAAGTGAGTTGGATGATCACCGGAAATTTTTTTTTGATTCTCTAGCCAATCAAGAAACACGCTCTATCATGAAGAACTCCGATCCACATTCTTTTAGAGTTTCCTCTCCTCCACATTCGTTGAAGTCTTCGTACACTGATTCCACTGCTGGATGTAAGATGGAGGCAAGAAATTCAAGCTTGAGAGTCAATGATCCAAGCGAACCACACAGATCCACTATGTCGTCTGCCAATTCATATGTGAAAGCACCTTTACCTCTGGTTGCTAGTCCTGGTGGTTCATCTGGTTACTATCAGAACCTTGAGAGTGTAGACACAGCTTTTTCTGGAAGTGGATTGAGTGCTTATGCTGTTAATCCTTCATTTCCTTCAATCCTGCAGAATCAGATTGGCACAGGAACCATGAATCCTTTATTAGGAAGCGCTGCCTCTGCTTCAGCAATTGCATCTCTTGCTATGGACACCGGGGCTTTTGGATGTGGTATTTTTGCACCGCCAAGTTTAGCTGGCCTAACGGACTTGCAAAATATCAGTCAAATTGGTAATCAATCAGCAGTAGCAGCTGTCCGAGCACAACTTAATGACCCTCTTTATGTTCAGCATATTAGGGCTGCTGAATATACTGCACAAGTTGCTGCTACCTATGGTGATTCTTCCATGGAGAGGGGTTACACAGGCAACTCTTGTGCAGATTTACCTGGTATCCAGAAAGCTCACATTGAATCATTACTTCAATCGCAGAAACAGTATGGCATCCCTCTTCTTGGGAAATCTGGGTCTCTGAATCAGGGTTACTATGCCAATCCTGCTTTTGCCCTGGGTTTAGCATATCCAGGAAGCCCTTTAGCAGGACAAATTGATTCCCCAGTTGGACCTGGCAGCCCTCTCAGGCTTGGTGAGCGCTCCATGCAGTTTCCTTACGGGTTGAGAAATCTGAATGGAGGTATCATGGGAGCTTGGCATTTTGATCCCACTCGTAACATGGATGAACATTTTCCTTCCTCACTTTTAGAGGAGTTCAAGAACAATAAGACCAGATGCTTTGAACTTGCTGAGATTGCTGGCCACGTGGTTGAGTTTAGGTATTTCGAACTCAAATGCTACTCTCAAGTCTATATGCTTTTTTTTTTGCTTTTTTTTTTTTGACAGAACAGCTAGTTTACTGCAGTACAGAGGTCTAGCTAGCAATATTGTTGGATAAATTTCAAATTGTTAACTAAAGTTCATGTTAGAATCTTAAATAGATGCCTTGAAAATAGTTACAACTAGTTGTAGTTTATTTAACATGGAGCAAGAAAATATCAACTTTAGTTAAATAAAGATTTTTCTAGAATTTTTGTAAGCAATCACTTCTTTTTCTATAAAGTTAAATTGGACTGTGCAACTAATGAATTGTCAGATCATCCCACTAAATGTTCACATCTGGTTGCATTTTGGATCCAGCTTTACAATGGCCAATTAATTTTGCCATCATTTACCTGTGATCTGAAGTATTAGTTTGCATTTTAATTTTCTTAGAGTATGTTATGGTCATTGTGTCAATTGAAATTGTTAATTTTTCATGTATGTGTGCAGCGGTGACCAGTATGGAAGTCGTTTTATACAGCAGAAACTTGAAACAGCTACACGCGAAGAGAAAAACATGGTTTTTGAAGAAATCATGCCCGGTGCTCTGTCTTTGATGACTGATGTTTTTGGCAATTATGTCGTACAGAAGGTATAGCAATTAGACTCTTCAACAGTTTAACTGTCAAGTTTAAATTATTTATGTAACACATATGTACCAGAATAGCTTACATTTGGTCTTGTTTTAGTTTCTTGAGCATGGATCTGCAGCTCAGAGAAGAGAACTGGCTGACCAGCTTAATGGACATGTTTTGGCTCTCAGCCTTCAAATGTATGGTTGTCGGGTAATTCAAAAGGTATTTTAGTCGTAGACAGCTCCATACATTTGATGACTTGATTATTTCAAATTTCTTTGTTTGAGATTTCGTATGTTTGTGACTTTTGTTGTTACTCCATAGAAAGTTGGATTGTGAAGATTTGTCCGTGATGGGAAACAAACCTTTTAGTCACTTTCTTCTCTCTTGTAATATTAAACTTCAAAATCCTACACCAATGTGAGAGACAAAAGCATATAATGCACATCACCCATATTTGAATGAATACACGTTTAACTGATGAAATTAAGCTTTTCTATATTGAAAAGCAATGTCGAGTTTTTTTTTTTTTTGAAGAGAGCATTTGCTAATAAATTGTATTTGGAGTTCTTCTTCTCCTGTTTGACTTCCTGGTCATTAAGTTCCTTGTTAAAAGCTTAGTTAGTGTTGGAAAATCAACTTATTGACCTATTGCACAGGCCATAGAAGTCGCTGATTTGGACCAGAAGAAAAAAATGGTTTTGGAGCTTGATGGACACATCATGCGTTGTGTACGTGACCAGAATGGAAACCATGTTATTCAGAAATGTATAGAGTGTGTTCCCCAGGATGCAATTCAGTTCATCATATCAACCTTCTATGATCAAGTTGTGACATTATCTACTCATCCATATGGCTGTCGTGTCATACAGGTTTATTGACCTTGGGTTTTATTATTCTTCAGAATATGGATGCTATGTGCATGCTGCTGCCTGTACTTCATGCTTAACAAATTTCTTTTGTTTCAGAGAGTCCTGGAGTATTGTGATGACAATAAGACTCAGCAGATTGTGATGGGAGAGATCTTGCAATCAGTTTGCTTGTTGGCCCAAAACCAGTACGGAAATTATGTTGTCCAGGTTCCTTCTCTATCTGGATTATCTTTTTAATGCTTGTCATAAATACATCAGTTAGCGACATTTGGCATCAGAGAAGGTTCATGTTTTATCAAGTAGTAGCAATTCTTAGCTTCCATAATTTCAATCTAAGATAAAGTTTTCTGTTAGTTTTGTGCAGTTTTATATGTGTCCTAGTGATTGTTCACGATGACCAATGCAGTGCCTTCTAATTGTTGTCACTGCTCAACTAATGTGATGACGTACCAAAGGGACGTTTTTCTTCCCTATAGCATATCCTTGAGCAAATATTTTTGTGATTACGAAAAAAACATAGTTGCACAAGGTCATTTTTGGATATACTTTTAGATGATAATCTTATATAGGCATCTGCATATAAGTTTTGTGGGCCATATTTTACCGAGATTTTCTGCTTTTGATTTCTTACCCAAAATCATGAGTTACATTTATCAAACAAGTTGAAGTGGCATGAATGGCAACTCATAATGAAAGAGCATTGGTTTTTTAAGAATCATAATTTCATTCTATAGTTTGGATCATGAGTTTTTCTTCTTTTCTTGGTTAAGTGAGAGGACTTGAGTAACATAATTTTCTCAATCTTTCGCTCCTTTGTTAAGGAGAAATCCAGATAGGCTTGATAGAGAATAAGATTCTGCTGTTCAAAAAACAATAATTCAGGAAAACTGGTACATTATTGAAGATCTAGAAATATTCTGCCGTTCTGTTCCTCTTTACAGCTTGTGTAATATGTATACATGAAACCTGCATGGCTTGTGTTTTACTTGCTCATCTCTTAGTTAATGTTTCATCATGTGCAGCATTTGCAGTTTTTATTCTGTATGCTTGTAATTTCTTCAGATTTGAAATTAATTTTTTGACAGCATGTTTTGGAGCATGGGAAACCTAGCGAGAAGTCTTGCATCATTAAGAAGTTAGCTGGACAGATAGTTCAGATGAGTCTGCAGAAGTTTGCCTCAAATGTTGTCGAAAAGTGTTTGACTTTTGGTAGTCTTGAGGAACGACAGATTCTGGTGAATGAGATGCTTGGTTCAACTGATGAGAATGAGCCCCTCCAGGTTCCTTTCTCCTATCACTCAAAATGTTTTCTGAATTATGATATTATGCAGTTTTCTGGGGTTACCAAATTATTTAGATCCAATATTCTGCATTTGGTTTCAAGAACATGGCTACAGGGGCTAGCCTTTTCCTTAAAATGCTCATGCAGTTTGAAAATTTTCTTTTTCTCCTTATTAGATATCTGTTGGAAATCTGATACTTATAGAATAGGAAACTAGACAGAAAAAAAAAAAAAAAAGACTATGGTGCTTATTTTTTCCTCTCTGTGGGTGTCAGGCCATGATGAAAGATCAGTTTGCTAACTACGTTGTACAGAAAGTACTGGAGACTTGTGATGATCAGCAACGTGAGTTGATTCTCTCACGGATAAAGGTCCACTTGAACGCTCTGAAGAAATATACTTACGGAAAGCATATAGTTGCACGTGTAGAAAAACTTGTTGCCGCAGGGGGTAAGGCATACTAGTCTCTTTTAGATTTCCCTTTAGTAGGTTTGATTATATTTCCTGTACTTGCTAAATAAAGACCAAAGGGTTGATAAAGGCAGAAGTCCTTGACGTTTAGGGTCCCCAAGCTTTTTGTTTTGTTTTTTGGGTCAATTTACTCCCTAAACCTTGACTAACCTTTCGACCAAGTTGATCGCCAGCTTCCATAGTAAGCATCGATGAAAAGCTGGTATAGGTGTATGGTAGGCTTCGCTTGCTGACCTGACAAATGTTGGCGAGAAAGAGTCATCGGGCCTGCCCACATTAGTTGGCTAGTTAAGTCAAGTTCGATGTGCCCTAAATTCAGTTGACATTTATGTCGGATTCGTAAGGGAACCCCCTATCGTGCAGCCATGGTAGCTTTTCATGAAGAAGGCACATGAAAAGAAGCCTATGGTAAGATATGATAAAATGTTTTTGAGTCGATCATCAAAAAGCACCAGTGGTGTAATTTACCAAAGACCATGATATAACTTATATCGATGTCGTCAGCATTGACTTGTCTGGAACTCATGCTGACTATTTTTTGCCACTGCTGGCACTGGTATTGCTTTGCTCCTCTAACCTCCTGTTCCTTCTCCATCTGATCGTGCTACTTGTTTGTGTTTTGCAGAAAGGAGGCTTGGATTGCAGAGCCAGCAGCATGCCTCATCCATGGCACGAGGATGACATTGTACTGCTGCCGAGGCTAGTGTGAGCTCCCAGCTTTAGGTAAGGCTGCTGATATAGGAGGCTGAAAAGTGTTGTTTGTGCTGGAAGTTGTACATTCTTTAGGCGAACAGTGGTTTTATCGGAATGCTGTTTGCTGTATCTGATGCGCCTCCCTTCCCCCCCCCCCCCCCCCTTTCTTCCCTTGCAGAGGAGATATAATTAATAGTTGGTCTTTATGGCTGCTGTAAAGGGAGAATCGATAGTATGACTGTACAAATGTCGACTGTTTAGGCCTTCGGGGAAGGGAAGCTTGTTTTCTATTTCCTGTTTCATTTGAACATGAGTAATTTTTTTTTTTTGTTTACCTGACAATACTTCACATATCATGAATGT